AGGCTGCAGCAGAGAAAGTTCTGGGCTTCCTGGGGAACCCGGCCACTGTCACCAGAGCACACATGAGGTCCCAGCAGAAGACAGCCCTAAAAGGATTCAGAAACCTGCTCTGGATCGCACTGCAGGGAAGCAGACGAAGGAAGGTGAGCCTGGGAACTGCTCATGTAAGTAGAGTCCGAGCAGCAGGCCTCCACTGGTCATGTCCGGCCACCAAGGTCTAGAGGGCCTGGACACCACAGGGTGTGTGCACAGGGACATGCCTCGTGCCAGGGAGAAAGGGAGGAAGGGAGGCCGCCTCGTAGCAGAGGCCCAGGCAGGAGGCAAGGCTGGCTGCCTGCAAGTGAAGGCAGAGGGAAAGTACCAGAAGGACCAGGAATGGCGCTGCAGGCACAAAACTGATGCTCGGCAGAAGTGGGGGAAGGAAGCTGACTTCAGCGGGAGGAAGAAGAGGGATGAGCAGACAGGGAAGGACAGATATGCCTGAGGAAGAGCCCAGCTGAACTCTTCACTGTCACTCTGACTCACAATCAGACTGTGCAGGTGCGTCTCTACTAGCCGGGTGTGGTGACTCACGCTCTTAAACCAGGGCTCTGGGAGGCTGAGTCCAGAGCACCTGTAAGCTTGAACCCAATTTGTGCAAGATCCCGTCTCAAAATAAATTAAATTAATTGAGGCCCTAGCTCAGTCTGAAGGCCCTGGGCTCAATCCCCTCCATACTGCAAGAAAAAAAATTGGACTTGTAAGAAAATACACAATGCAGGTTTCTAAAATGATCACTGTGTTTTATAGTTAGTGAATTTTCTGGTTTTTGAAACTTTATGAAATCTTCATTTTTTAATTTTTATTTATTTATTTATTTTGCAGATTTACTGTTTCTTTTTATGGAAGTGAAGTCTGCATGACATCAAACTGACCATTTTATCGTGTTCTTTAGTCGTAGGTAATACAGCCACAATACTCTGCAACTTTCAGCTTTCTCAATTTCAAATATAGTATTTTTACCCCCTAAAGGGGAAGTGCGAGCCATTGGGCAGTCAGCCCCCTGCTCAACCCCCCAAGCAGCTGGCAGCGCCTGATCTGCTCGCTGTCTTGTGCCTCAGGTCATCCCCACCACGGCAGACATGCACGTGACCTTTTATCTGGCTTCCTCCACTTGCCTTCCAGATGGCCCACCGAAGCTGCTGACTGCATCAGTGCTCCGTTCTTCCCTAGGATGGCATAGCTCGTGATAATTTAAAAGCACACAGAGTTGGAGATAAGAACCTGGAAAGATGGCAGAGTAGGAGCACTAGGAATCTGCCTCCCTCCTAGATGATACAGTGGTGCCTTGCTCGCTTCAAGAACTTAATTCTTTCCACCAACTGATTCTAATCACAGACTGAAATGTTTGTGAACCAAATCAAGTTCGATGGTTCAGTCCAATGTTGACCTTATTGGGAAATTTGATTCAGTTTCTGACCAACTTGGTTTACAACCAGCATTGTGGAAAGAGTAACTTTCTGAACTGAGATACCACGGTAAATGCTTGGAAGGATATTCTGGTGTAGTCACGTTGGAACTCCAGAGCCTACTGACGGCATGCAGCTTCCAGAGTAATGCTTAGAATACAGTGCAGTAAAATGGGGTCAACATAAGCTCTTAGCACAGTAGTAGTAGCTTTTGTTCTTCTGCTCCACCCCAGCCCTGTGATAGGCAACGGTCTACATGGTTGGGTGCAACCTGCCCATAGAAGACAGGAGCCATGATGTGCAGAAGGGACTCTGTCCTCCAATACCTAAGACCTGGGCTGCTACTTCTGCTCTGCCACAGAGGCACAGGCAGTGGGGCAGGGGTGGCTTCACTGTTGCTGCACCTCTACCAGCTCCAGCAGACATGACTTCCAGGAAAGTTAAAAGGACAATGCCTTCTGACACTCCACCTCTTAATTTCTCTCTTTCTAACTTCAGGATCCAGGCATTAACTATTAGAACATTAAAAAGAAAATCAGTTCCCCTGCACATGTGGAGAAACTCAGAAGTGACCACGGACATCAGGGAAAGGTACAGCCTGAGAAGCGATCTAGGAAGACTGTAAGCTTACACCCCAGGCTTACACCCCAGGCTAACCATTGACACAGAGACAGCCTAAAACAATAAAATGAGACAAATCAGTAGCAAAACAAGCAAACCATGGGGAGGACAGATAATAATTACCACATTGTTAGATGCAAATTTCCAGTTTTCACAGAAAAGAAATAAGAAAGTACAACTCATTCATTGGGGGAAAATCAAGAAAAACTATCCCTGAGAAATATTTGGTGGCAGACCTACTAGATAAAGACTTTAAAACAGTGGTCTTAAACATGTCAATCTAGTAAAGGCCAGTGTGGAGAAAGTCAAGAAAGTAGTTATAAACAAGATTGTAAACAAGCTCACTCTAAAAACATGGGAAAAAACTAACAGAAGAATGCAGAATTTTGAAGCCAAAAATTACAGTGATTGAAATGAAAAATTAACTACAGAAACTAAAGGGTAAGATTTTAGAAGACAGAAGAAACACCTACGGAACTGAATGGAGAGTTCAGGAATAACACACATGGTAAGTGACTTTCTATAAGAATGCCAAGACTATCCAAGAAGGACAGAGCTGTCTTTTTAGCAAATGGTGCTAGGAACATCGTATATTCAACCAGGAAACTAAGTCTTTAAGCATCGTGGACATCTGGGGACACAAGGGCTACCCAAATCACAGCAAACACTATCATAGCTCACTTAAAATCAGCAAGAGAATGATATGA